CTCCTGGTCACCCACATGCTGTCCTCTCTCTGAGCTGGGCCCGGCGAGGTCTGGCCTAACGGGAGGGAGATTTCACGTTAAATAAGATAACGAGAGCAAACCTACTGCCCCGCGTGTTTCACAATTTGTTCCCATTTAGAAGATACTTCTCCTCATTTAGAAGCTAGGACAGAGATAGAGTATTGACAGACTCCCTAAGAATCTTGAACAGGATCGAGCCACCAGACAGGCCAGCCAGGTGCTCGCTGCCGTCTGCCTGCATGTTTTTAGATCTCACGTCGTTAACATCTCACCTGTGGGCCAAGCAGAGGCCTCTCCGACGTGCTCATGTCGGTCAGTCAGTCCCTGCGAGGATTGTACCAGGAACAAACGGTCGCGTAGCTCGGAGCTTCCTCCTGAAAATGTTAGCAGAAGCGGTTTGTGCCAGAAGCGTGTTGGCAGTGCCGACCTGCTGCGGGCGTGAGAAGAGCAGATAGAGGCGCGTTTCTTCACGTCTCGCTGGCCCCCGGGGAGCGTGTCCCCTCGAGTGTGTTCTGAGGGCCCCAGGAGACGGAAAGGGATAGTTTAGACGTCATTTTGGGGAGTTCTCAGGAAAACATCAGACAAATGACGACCGTTGCTCTGTTTGGATTTAAAAAGGCGTTTGGGGTCAGTAATAACGAATGGAAATACATGCGTAAATTCAGGATTCACATGAGTTTCCCGTGTTCTACTTATCACCATCTTCCCCCAACGTGATCTTTGTTTTATGTCCATTTCTATTCATGTAACTTCTTTTTCATTAAACACGATCAAAACTGCCCGCTGCCTCCTGCCCCTTTCTTCACCGACCTTGTGCTCAGAGTCAAGTCGCCGACGCTCGTCCGAATCTGTTCTGAGTTGGGGCTGCAGGTGCCAACGAGTAGCAAACCCCTTTCCTGGAAAGACGGGGCTCTCAGCGAGCAACGCGGGTCTGAAGCTCATCTGATGCGCGAATATCTGACGGTATTTCCCAGAAACGTACAGGGCAGAGCCGATCGAAATAATAAGGTGGCCCGGCCGGCGTGGCTCATGGTGGAGCGTCGACCTATGAACCAGGAGTCGAGGTTCCGTTCCTGGTCAGGGCACAGGCCCGGGTTGCGATCCCCAGTGGGGGGCGTGCAGGAGGCAGCCGGTCCATGATTCTCTCTCATCGTGGATGCTTCTGTCTCTCTCTGCCTCTTCCTTCCGAATCTGAAATCAGCAGAGCTCCCCCGGCCACAGGACGCTCCTGCTGTGGGCTTAACCCCCAGATGCTTTGTGACACCAATAGGGGTCTTTGCTGGACTTAAGAACCATCACAGCCAACGCCTCTGTCCCACGGTGACCATCGGATTCTGGGAGGGTCAGGAGGCCTACTGAACCAGGAGTCGCGGTTCCGGTCCCGGTCAGGGCACAGGCCCGGGTTGCGGGGCGTGCAGGAGGCAGCCGGTCCATGATTCTCTCTCATCGTGGATGCTTCTGTCTCTCTCTGCCTCTTCCTTCCGAATCTGAAATCAGCAGAGCTCCCCCGGCCACAGGACGCTCCTGCTGTGGGCTTAACCCCCAGATGCTTTGTGACACCAATAGGGGTCTTTGCTGGACTTAAGAACCATCACAGCCAACGCCTCTGTCCCACGGTGACCATCGGATTCTGGGAGGGTCAGGAGGCCTCCCTGCTGTGTTCAGTCCCCGATCTAAATCCTCTCTCACCATCAGATCCACTGAAATCGCTTACTACCATTTAGCAAAGTCATGTTGGTGTCTGTCGTGTCAACACGGAATTTTACCATCATATCTTGCTTTAAGGCTTACCTTGCATTTACACAGAGGGTTTAAAGTGATGCCTTGTATCTAATAAAACATGTGATTGTCCACTCATCCTGCACGGGTTTGCTTAGCTTAATATGAAGAATCTCTTTTGCCCTGGCCGGTCTGGCTCAGTGGATAGAGCCTCGGCCTGTGGACTGAAGGGTCCTGGGTTCGATTCTGGTCAAGGGCACGTATCTTGGTTGCAGGCGCCTCCCCGGCCCGGGCCTGGTCAGGGTGTGTCCAGGAGGCGACCAGTCGATGTGTTTCTCTCAAATCGCTGTTTCTCTGTCTTTCCCTCTCCCTTCCACTCTCTCTGAAAATCAATCGAAAAGTATCCTCAGGTGAGGATTTTTAAAAAAAAGGAGTCAATTCAAACCCAATTATCCTGCCAACAGGGACAGTGCTGATCTCCTGAGAGAGACGCCGGATGACACACGACCTCCCTGAGCCGCTGTCTCGCAGGTGCGCTTGGAAATAGATGAGCCGTCTGTGCTCGGCAGTTTTATCAACACCCGCTGGTCGCAGGTCGAGCGGGGGCTACACGGCCTTGGGGTTTTCCCTCTTTCTAGTCACAGGTGTCTTAGCTCACCTGCTGCCCGCTCCCTCCTCCCTCCTGTCGTGTGGGAGGGGAGACCGAGGCGGGGGTGGGAGGACTGCAACCCGCTGCCCCGCACCCACCCCGCGCTCCAACGCCTCGTCACTGGGGAGGGGCCGCCCCTGGTTCTGAGGTTTATGGAGCAAACGAGGGCAGGTCCCTCCTCCCGGCAGGTTCCCGAGGCTTGTTCCCCGCGACGCCGGCTCAGTCAGGCTCTCGGAGAAACAGAGGGTCTCTGCCCGTCACAGGCCGGTGCTCACGGGCTACGAAGGCTGGTTTCCAAGGTGTTCAGGTGGGTCCGGGGGCCGGAGACCCCGGACGGAGTGTCCTTCCCGCTGAGGCCGAGGAGCTGGTCTCACTGGGCATCTTCCAGGCCGGAGGAGCCGTCCTCGCTTCTGGGAGGGTCAGGAGGGCTCCCTGCTGTGCTCAGTCCCCGGATCTAAATCCTCTCTCACCTAGAACCCCCCCCCCCCCCCCAAAGCACCAGATCAACGTCTGAGCAGGGATCCGGGCTCTTTGGGGCCCAGCCCGTTGGCCACAGAATTGATGTCAGGCACTGTGTGCGGCACTCAAAGGCCGTCTGTGCTCGGCACAGAGAGCAGCTGCCCGGCTCCCTGGTCAGCTCTGCCCTCGCCTCGGCGGCGGGCGTTTAACCAGAACCAGGTGACCGCTCGTCGGCAGCTCCTGGGCCTCGCTGAGTGCCAGGCACAGAGAACTGGGAGCGGACAGCTGGTCAGCAGGAGGGACGCCGGCTGGGAGGCACGTGTGTAACGGTCGCACCCGGGAGCCCTGCCCTCACTCCGCCCTCTGACGGGAGGGTTGGTTTTCCCGTTTGCACGTTCTGGCCGGAGCCCACGGGGTTGGCATCGCGGCCGTACAGCGAGGCGGCTTCTCTAGGAAATGCAGGACGAGGGTGAGTGGAATCGGAGAAACTCCGAGGCTCAGGCGTCATTTCAGTGGGACGGAGGGTGGAGGGGGAACAGGGAATTCGGAGCAGAGAGCCTGTGGGGGGGAGGGGGCGAGCGCAGCTCTGCATCCCAGGAAGGAGGGACCGACCAACTGACCGACGGACCCGAGGGACTGGGGGGCGGGGGGGCGGTGAGAGAGGAACGACCTTCTCCTGAACCCGGAAAGGCTGTCAGCAGGAGGCTGAGCCTCGCAGGACGGCGCCCGCGGGTCAGAGCACACGGCACCTGCAGGCAGGTTCGATTCCTTCGTGAAGCATCAGAGCCGTGACACTGGGCTTAGCCACACCTGGTGCCTGCTGGCCACCTGGAGCCGTCACTCCGTGCTGCTGCCCGCC